AGAGGTGTGCTTGACTGTACAGGAAATAGTGGTTTAATTTCCTTTGTGTGTGTGTGTTTGCTGTACATACAGGGCACATACCTGGTACCCATTATAAATCTTTACACTACAGAGTGAGGGAGGTTTTACATTCAGTCTTACTGCATAACTTGTGCTCTGTCTCACCCTGGAAGGGAAGGTCAGAGGATGCAACGTGTCCTTGGGAACTGTGCATCTGCTCTGAGCTGCTCTGTGGACCAGTGTCCTCGGGCTGAGCTATCGTGACAGACTCCCTCAAAGATTGGGCGGACGTTCCTTTAGGAACAAACTATTAGAGACCTTTAAAATGCTGTAAGCCAGAGATCAAGGCAATATGAAAAAGTATATCCTCAAGCAGTGGTGGGGTTTTGATACAGTATGAAGGTAAATTTAACTTGTAAGAAGGAGCAATAGAATCTGGCTTCAGTCAACCCTTTCACCATCTGACGACCGTTTACCTCATATCCAAAATGTGCATACATAAGAGTTTCCATACAGGCACATACATTCTCATGTTGCCTTTGTCTATATAAATCCACATTTTCCGTGGCAAGTGACCTACACCTGTTTCAAGCCCCGTTTGTGTATAGGCAACAGTTTTAAATGAGGCCTCAGGACTGAGACTGTAATGTACTTGCAGCTTGTTTTTAGAGCTATAGGTTTAATAAGTAAATCATCTTTTCAGTAAGTTTGTTGATAACAAGAAATATATAGAATAACATCAGACTTATCCTTCAACCACACTACCTCAACGTGTGGGAGACTATAAATAATGGCTTCAGATGTATGAATTTGCAGGCCAACTTTGAATGAAAGTACCAGGAAATGTTTTAATTTCAAAGACTGTAGCCAAACAATTTATGCTCACAGATCCAATGACACAGTGAGAGGCAGAAAATTAGCAGTTGCAAAATATTACAATGATAATTGTAGTATTTTGCATAGTATGTATAGTGCTATGCTACTGTGCATAGACATACTGTAGTATTTTGGGATAACCAAAATAATACAATGAGGAATTTTGCTATAATTTAAATGTTTGCTTTCAATCATGTATTAGTACCCTTATAAAATAGTAAATGTACTACCCAATCTGATTCAGTACCAGAGATGTTCTGATTGCAGGCACTGGAAATGAAGCTGGCAGGTTGCTTGTCTTCCAGGAGCTGTTTCAGTCTCTCCAGCAGAGGCAAAGCCTTCTGTTGGAGCAAACCCGTGACCTTTGTAGTCAGTATGCACCCACTGCACTGGATCAGACCATACTCCTTGTACCAAAAGTTCCCACACAGTACTGCCTAGACACACAAGAAAAGAAAGGTCACTCAGAATAACATGAGGAGAAATAAAGATGTCAAAAACATATCCTCAGTTTCTTGACAAACGCTGTAGTAACTCCTTAATTGAGCACCATTTGCGGTGTACTGTCATTCTTTACAGGCCTAGGCAGGGGTGGGTCCTCCCATAATGCTGTGAGCTCTTCTGCTCTCTCCCTCTTCCATCTCCTCTCCATTTTATTTTTATATGCCAACATAACATGTCACTAACCTTGTTTCTCCTCTCACCCGTAGTGTGTTCTCTCTCTCTCTCTCTCTCTCTCTACTCCATTTCTGCAGGTATCCTTGGCTCCAGAGCTGTACATTTCTAATTAGCAGTCAGTTTCTTTTCTCTCTCCTCTATCCACTCACCCCAACCGGTTGAGGCAGAAGGCCACCCGCTGAGAGCTGCGGTTTGTCAGAGGTTTCTTCTGTTAAAGGGAGTTTCTCCTCCCAACTGTTGCCCAGTGCTGCTCAAAGAGGATTTGTTGGGTTTTACTCTATCACACCGTAAGGTCTTGGCCTTACAATGTAAAGTGCCCTGAGATTATTATTGTTGTGAATTGGCACTGTGCAAATAAAACTGAACTGAATAGAAAGAAAATGTTCATCTCCTTCTCTGTATACTTTATGTATGTTTATGTACATTCAGTGTTATTTACAGTGTGTCGGTGTGTGGTCTGACCTGAGAAGTGTCTGCGCGAAGCTGAGAAAGGTGTCTGGCGAAGCACAGCACACTGAGAGCAGCCTCCAACTCTGTCTGTGTGGAACAACACTGCTCCCACAGCTCTCTCACTCTCAGCTCTCTGTCCTAAAGGACAAAAATATTTGGAATTTGGTGAGACTGAGAGAGAAGTGAATACCTAACCTAACTAAACCTGTTACCAATTAAGCTACAGTGCCACTAGCACACAGTAAAGCCATCATTCTCACCACAGCATGCAAAGCTGTAGCCCAGTCTCCTCCCTGTGTTGTCCATTTTTCTTGGTCTTGTTGCCACTGCTCTATCCACAAATCTGCCTTATCAAGGCCTGACATGAGTTCTGAGTGCCAAGCACACTGCCGGTCCCACTCCTCCTCATCACCTATACGGAGATGCACAAAGACAAATAAAACAGAGAACACTGAAAAAATGCTTGTCACTATAAAACTGAAGGGTGCGAGACATTGGCATGAAGCTTGCTTTTAGAAAAGGATGAATATAACTGCAGTACACTTCATGACTGCAAGTTCCTTCATGCTCTTTATTCTGCCAGCTTGCCGGCCAATTTACCCAGTGTCAGGATGTCTAAAACATGTGGAGAAAGGATCAGAGCCAAGTGGGAGTGCTGGCCTGCTCTCCTCTGGGCCTCAGCCTGCGCTGAATCCTGCAGCTCCACGGCTGCTTCCCTCAGCTGCCTTCCTGACCACTGGTCCTGCAACAGAGTACGCAATTAAACGTGGAACATGAAAAACTGAGGCACACATTTGCACACAAAAAGAGCCATAGACAGAGATATGGTGACTCTGCAGTTTGCCCTAACTCGTAGCTGTGCACAAAAAGCCTAACCACAAACTTGCTTACATTTGGCGTGGCAGGATATGAAAAGCTTCACAAGAACAACTGCTGTTTACCTCCACATTCACATCCCCATACTCATTTCGATACTGTATGTTGAAAAGACT